TTAAAGGTCAGAGGGAAAAATTAAAAAAAAAAAAAAAGTCTAACTGCCTTCAAAGAAACAAAGGCATAAGTTGACAGCTGACTTCTCAACAATAACAATGGAAACCAAAAGAGAGTGAGATTATATCTTGTGTCCAGAGAGAAAAAATTGCTAACATCAAATTTTGTATAAAGCAAATATGTTCTTCAAAACAGAGATTTTAATAGAAAAATCCACAGAAAAAAGATAAAGAAGAAAAAAGAAAAATAAAAACATATAAAATATAAAAATATGGGAAAAGGATGAAAGCAAATAAATGGAAAAATATATCACAGAAAACATATTCAAATAGAGCTTAAATAAACATGTTAATATCAAAGTAGATTATAAGATGAAAAGAATTATTGGAACAACCAGAATTGTTTCATAATTATTGAAGTTTTAAATTACCAGTAGGATAAAATATACTCCTAAAAACATGACCTTAGCCTAAATGAGATTTGACAGAATTTTCAGAAGAAATAGACAAATTCAAAAGCATACAATGAAATTTAAAATCTATATCTCAGTGAGTGATGAATAAATAATTAGAAATCCTAAATAGATAGCCACAAGCCCAGATTTAAACAGTCTTTCATAGTTTTAGGCTTAAAGTCAATCCTAGACCTCAATCTTCCATAACCAGGAAGTGAACCTTGAAGGGTATGAGTGCCCAAAAAGGGAATACTCTCCAAAACCCATTTTAGATAAGATCTAAGAAAGATAGTGAACATGGAAGAAGCTTCCAGAAGCATATTTAGGGACTACTGATAACAATGTACAGGAACTTTCCTTCTAGACACTATAATAAGCCTATTAAAGAATTTTCTTCCACCTTCTAGAGTAGGAAATATTCACAATTCCCATTCTACATCGTTCTAAAATGGCTATGGACAAGTACCCAGAGGTCCTACTTCTGAAGGGAATTATTCCTGTGGCTAACTTATCCTTTTTCCTCCTTTGTGTACAGGAGGAAAAGGAGGAGACAAATATCTTCAGTTTATAAGTCTCCAGACCAAAATTAACTACATTCCAACCTGGTGAAATGAATTGTGTATCACCTGGAACATGGGATATGGACCTGGATTTGGTGACTGGAATGACTTGAGGTTGTCTCCCTCAGTAAAGGAGTGAGCATCATTTTTAGGAAACGGAAAAACAGATTGAATATTTATCTGGTGGATAAAAGAACAGATTATGTCAGAGACTGGCTAGACACTCACAAATTAGAACCTAACTCTTGCTTGGAAAGACAAAACTGTCCTCATGAACTGTAATTTCTTAATTACCTTGCCTTGAGTTTGGGGTAAGAGTCTAGGGAAGAGTCTACCACCTTCTGGTGGGTTAACTAAACTAAGAAAAGGAGGGGGAAATTAATTCCAAGTTTGATCAGGAAAAGACAGTCCAGCTCCCTGTACTTCATAGCTTCTGACTTTTAGACTCAGGCATCCACCTTGGGATGGAAAGCACACAGTACACGCTGGCACCTGCAAGCTGTGGCCCACACCTGCCTCTAGGAACCACATTCCCCTCACCCCATGGGGGCGGGGGACACACTAGAGTTGTCATTTAACAGGCACTGCCTGACTTGGATGTTTTGTGAGAAGCAAAGATCCAGATTAACAATTATTCTTTTGAGAGGCTGCCAGGGGGAGTAGAAAGCAAGCAGGACCAGGAACAAGCATTGGATTTATTGCTCCCACCACCTGTGTGGTTGCACTCAAATAACAGAACCTCTTTGAGCCAATTTCTCTATTACAAAATAAAGATGGTAATGTTTTCCTAGCCAGTCTCACTGTGCTATTTTATTAACTGGAATATCACATTTGAAACAGAAGAATCCATTGCAAATGTAAAGGAATTTTTTTTAAAGCCTTATATGCCAAGCTTTGGGTGTCCTTAGAAGAGCAATTGGGGGAATGAGAACACAGAAGATACAGAATACTCACTCTAAACTCAGTGAGTAGCAGGACTTAGAGAAAGCTCAAGTGTTGCCCTACATTTTAGCATGACCTGAGAAACTTGAAACTCTCCTGACTGTGCTGACTGTGCATTCCATTCTGATGCCTCCAGCAGCTTGTGGACCCTCTATGGGTGGGGTGGACACATAGGGAGTGAACAGAGGGTTTCCCACTCTTACCAACAACAGGACTCATCTGTTCTCACTGTCCGCAGGCTGTAACCACCCCCAGCTGTCCTGTCACCTCATGGTTAAGATATTCAAGTCATATTCAACAGTGTTTGTGGCAGTGCTTATCCTGTACACCATTTTTTAGATGTTTTGTTTTATTGTCCTTGATTTAAGACCTGCGTTCAGGGTCAGTTGAGGCAAAACTGAGATATACAGAGACTTTGTCTTTAGTCCTTTGCCATTCCTGTACCTTTACCTCCCTCCTATTCTGCTGCTCTGATTTTCATCCAGCTCCTCAGTGGTACTCTGTGACCTTTCAATACACCATTAGCTCTCTCAAAACCTAACGTTTCTAGTCACTGAATTTCTTTCCAGAATCTTCTTCTGCGCTATTGATTTCATATCTATCTCCAGGCTCAATCTCTAAAATGAAGTGATTTATAACCTAACTTACATTTCAATGTAGTGTTCTAGGTTAGCTCTCTCTGAACTGGTTATATTTTTTAAAAATATGTTAGAAAAGGAGATTCAAAGGAAGTTACTTCAAATGATATGTTTTCAGTTACTGGTACTGGAGGATTTTTTTAAAAACTTATCCTAAAATTCTGCTTCCAACTCTTCTAAACCATAGTGTGGGCTGCCAGTGTGTAAGGTAGTTCCCACTGGCACCGGTGCACACACCACAGTGGAAGCAACTTTAAAAATCTATGTTTTCATTCAAATTCATTTAGAAGGATAACATAATTCAGAAAGGAAAAGGAATGAAGATTCTATTGTTGGACAAAACGTAGAATAATATGCCACATCTGTTATCAGATAGATGTCATTTACATAACCATCATTCAAATTAAGTGTATATAACATTTAAAGAACCCTATACATTTACATTTAATAGAGTAACATGCAATAAGGTGGCAGGTTTTTTTTTTAATTTGTTATGAAAAAATTGAAGTCCAGAGGTTATGTGACAGAGATCCTGGGGCAAGTGACAATCTTGGCTCCTTTCTTTGTATCATCCTATATGCAGAGAACAAAACCAGGACATGATGGGCCACCATCTGCTAAAAGGAAGTCCAGGGGCCATTCATATTAGAAAGATAGCATTATACAACTGATCCTGTGTCCCCATGAGGTTAAGTACCCTTTGTGAGAACGAAGGGAAAGAAACCAAAAATAGTTTAAAGAAACACCTAAACACAGACTTGCTGAAGGACAGAGAAGTGAGAGAATTCTTAAGGAGTATCATATCTCTGCCACTTCTTAATTGTATGACTTTAAGCAAGTTGCTTCTCTGAAGATCAATTTCCTCACCAGGATAAGGAAAATAATAATACTTCAATCAAAAGTATATTTCGAGGATTATAAAAGGCCCCGAGAGGAAATAGTGCTCTGTAATTTACATAAAGTATGTTAAATATATTATGTTAATATATGACAGATAGTATATATTGTTTATCTCATACACTCTTCACCACTCTAGGAAATAGACATTATTCATTTTTCAGATGAATCTGAGTTCAAAGAGATCCAGTCACATGCCCTAAGTCATCTGTTTTGAAAGTAAAGTATTTGTATTTGCATAATATCTAAGATTCCAAACCTTTACTCTCTTTACCATGCTGCCTCTGAAGCAGTTAAATTTTCACCAGTTTTCTGAGAGACAAACTAAATGCCCTGTCTATTTGTTCATGTAGAACTTTTGCTAATAGAGTCAGGCATCACTTAATGATAGAGTTTCTGAGAAATGGGTCATTAGATGATTTTATCATTATGTGAATATCATATAGAGTGTGCCTCCACAAACCTAGATGGTATAGCCTATCATACACCTAGACTATATGGTAGAGACTCTGGTTCCTAAGCTAAAAACCTGTGCAGCATGTTACTGTACCGAACACTGTAGGCAATCTTAATGCAGTGTTAAGTATTTGTGTATCTAAACATAGAAAAGTCACTGTAAAAATGTGCGAGGACAGATAAAAAATGGTACACCTGTACAGGGCACTTACCATGAATGGAGCTTGCATCACCACGAATGGAAGTTGCTCTGAGAGAGTGAGAGAATGGTGCCTAGATGTGAAGGCCTAAGACATTCCTGTACACTATTGTAGACTTTATAAACACTATCATCTGAATAATTATGTTGGAATATAATAGTTATATTTCTTAGGTTTACTGTTGTTTGCAGACAAATGACATACGTGTGTTTTCCTAGTAACCTATTAAAATTTCTCTCCAAATTACTGCTCACAGCCTGGAGAGTGAAGCTATATTCTTTGAGGTCTGGGGGATATAGTTCTCTGTAAACATTTATATAAAATTTCTTTGAATCTTATGTTCTATATTTGAAATTCGTATGGTACTTTCTATTCTGTAATGTATTCTTATTTGTTTTAATATACAAATGATAGATTAGTGATTCAGAAATGCATTTCATGTTTATATTTTTCTTTATACTTTCCTAGCATGCAGTGAGTACTCATTATATGTGTTCATCAAATGAATGGGAGAAATAGGACTATTAAAACAAACGGAAGGAGTGGCATGAGAGGACAACAAGGGTGTGTCTTTCCATATGGGGGCAGTGTCTCTATTCATAGCTAACCTTGAAGGTTAGCTCAAAACTCAGGGGAAACGTCTGAAAGAGATCTGATTGGCTGATATACAGAACAGATATTTTAACTTCATGATAGTGAATATGGCAGTATTTATAGTGTCACTCAACCCAAAGGAGCTTCTTGAAGCAACAACAAAAAATTCAGGAAATAATTCTTTGGTGATGAGGATGTTCCTTGAAAGTGTATTAATAATTCTATGGATGCAGCTGACATGTGAGTCTTGGGAATTTCTGATTCTTCCACAGATAACTCTAAAGGGGTAGAAATTCTGTGAGGACATGAGGAGAAAAACTAGAGTAGAAGGAAAGAAAGGAAAAACATAGAGGCAGAACTGGGAAATTCAGGGATAGAGTGACTGTCACAACTCTGAGAAAGGTGATCTAAAGGTAATCTTAACCATCTTCTTTTGTCTTTCTAAACAGGGGCAAGTGGTCAACAGCCGAATCAAAGTCCTCAGTCTATGTCTATTCAGGAAGGAGAGGACATTTCCATGAACTGCACTTCTTCAAGCACATTTAACACCTGGCTATGGTACAAGCAGGATCCTGGGAAAGGTCCTGTCCTTTTGATAACCTTATATAAAAGTGGTGAGTTGACCAGAAATGGGAAACTGACTGCTCAGCTTGGTAGAACCAGAAAGGACAGCTTCCTGAATATCTCAGACTCTGAGCCTGCTGATGCAGGCACCTACTTCTGTGCCGGGCAGCACAGTGCTCCCCAAGCACCTGCAGCCCGTCCTCAAACTTGCAGCTGGGACTCCAGTCACTACACTGCCTTCAGCTCCCGCTCCTCTTGACATAAAATGTTATGCATGCAACTTATGCCCCTGCCATTTTGTGTCTGAAAACTCTCATATATTCAAGGATTTATCTTTCAAAGACATTCAAGGATTTATCTTCCAAAGCTCTTTGCTTGATGAGCTTCCCCTTCTCAATCCCTTTTTAATGTGTGTAATATAGTTACCTACTTATTTTTGTCAGGCTATAAAGTGAATGAATCAACTACAATCACAGTAGAAAGTTTTAATATATGTCTCTCAAAAATGGGCAAATATCAATGGAATAAAATTAAGATTCCAGAAACAAGCCCATACATGCATGGCCAATTGATTTTCAACAATGCTGTCAAGACCATTCAATGGAAAAATAATAGTCTTTTTAACAAGTAGTTCTGGGGCCACTGGAAAGTCACATGTAAAAGAATTAGTTGGATTTCTACCTCACCCTTGTCCAAAAACTAACTCAAATGAATCAAAGACCTAAACGTAAGAGCTAGAAATACAAATGCTTAGAAGAAAACATAAGTATAAATTTCAATGACCTTGGACAATGCAGCAGTCTCTTAGATAAAGCCCCAAAAAATAACAGCCAAAGAAAAAAATAGATAAATTGGACTTTATTTTTATTTTTTTGAGTTGGAGTCTCACTCTGTCACCCAGACTGGAGTGCAGTGGCCGCTCCCGGCCACCACAGCCTCGACCTGCTGGGCTCCAGCGATCTTTCCTCCTCAGCCTTCCGAGTAGCCAGAATTACAGGTACGCGCTACCACGCCCGGCTGATTTTTTGATTTATTGTAGAGATGAGGTCTCGCTGCCCAGGCGGGTCTCGAACCCACGGGCTCAGGCAATCCACTTACCTCGGCCTCCCAAAGGCACGGGATTACAGGCTGAGCCACCGAGCCCGGCTATTTGGGCTTTATTAAAATTAAAATATTTGTGCATCAAAATTCACAAAGTCTTACACAAATGAAAGTGAAAAGCTAACCTACATAATGAAAGAACATATTTGCAAGTCATGTATCTGATAAGGTCTAGAATCAAGAATATATATTTTTTAAATCTTACAACTTAACAAAAAGAAAAATACTAATTTTAAAATGGTCAAGTGGTTTGAACAGTCATTGCTCCGAAGAAGATATACAAATGGCCAAAAAGCACATGAAAGAACACTCAACATCATTATTCATTAGGGAAATGTAAACCAAAACCGCAATGAGATACCACATCAGACCCACTAGAATGTTCACAATTTTTTTTCTTTTAGAGAAAGGAGAAATGGAAAATAATGTTTAGTGAGGATATGGGAAAATTGGAATACTCATCCACCACTGGTAGGAATGTAAAATGGCACAGACACATTGGAAAACAGTTTGGCAGTTCCTCAAATGGTTAAACATAGAGTCACCATTTGACTCAGCAATTACCTCCTAGATATCTACCTAAGAGGTCTAAGATATGATAAATTTCATTGGCCAGAACCATGTCATATGGTCAGCACTAATGGTAAGGGAAGTTGGGAAAGTGAGCATTTAACTTGTCTAGCCTCTATAAGGGAGATGACCATGAAAGATGGTGACTGGGGATAAATGTTGGGCTAACTATCCAAAAACATCTGCCACATCATTCCGTGTCCTCATTCTTGAGAAGAAACACTGATGATACTTCTTGATATCCTTATTTCTGTTATTACCCTAACAGCAGGTGCCAAAGAAAGCTGAAGTCTGTAAAAAGCTAAGCAGAACTATCTCAAATAGTTTAGCTCTGAATAATATACTGGTTTTCTTTCTTGCAGACATCCTAAGAAAAAATCAATATCTCTCAAGAGGAATCAGCTGATGTTTATGAAGAAAGATGGTCCACTACCACTGATAGTGATATGGGCTGTTCTTTAAAAAATAGTGGCTTTAATGACTCACAGAGATCATCATGTTCTCAAATATCAATAAGAAATTCACTTCCCTGAAGAAACAGCTCAATATTTCTATGGGTCCCACAAATGTTTATGACATAACCCTCAAAATCCTGAGATTATTTAAATTGTGGGGAAAAAATGCTTTCACATCTATTTATAGGGTCCTAGGCACCATTCTGTTCTCAGGAACTTAAAAAAATGTGTTTTAACTGACAGTGGATAATCATATTTTTTCTTCCTTTCCCCATTCCCATTCATCTGTAGGTAGGCATATCTACTATGCTAGCCTTCTCAGTGCTGAAGCTATAGATTATTTTTTAGCAAGCTTTTTAAAGTATGTCTTGATATTAAAGGTAAAGATTGCCTTATTCACATCTGTATGTTCCTTAGTTCCTGGCACAAAGAAGATAGTGAATTTAAAATGTTAAATGAATTAAAGAGCAAGATGTTAATTCATTCTCACATCTGTGCCTCTGTGCCACCTAGAAACGCAGAAGGAAACTTATAACAAAGAAATGGGTAAAATGATCTGAACTTCATGGGAACAGTACACACTATAGTCACAAGCAATAACAGAACATGTTATTATTTACTTTATTGTTGCATTGTCAGATCTGTTAGTCCTTTACTTCATGCCCCTGGGATTTATTTCTTGCTTAAGATCTGGAGAGTTAGGCTACATTGCCATTGTCACAAAAAGATTGGTTCAGAAACCAAGTAATCCATCACTTTACCTCCTGTGCAATTCAGCTTTTCTTAAATGCAAATATGTTTGTCTTCACCTTGGAATTTGCACTTCCTAGTAAGTAATTTTTTTCCTAGTGATCATGAAGTTCAAGTAATAAATTATTAATCTTAGGCTAAAACACTCCCTAGATGTATTATAAGCATTTTCCTAAAAATAGACATTCCTAGACAATAACAACTAGACAACTACATAATAATAATAATAGAATGGAATGCAGCAAAAGTCATACTCCAAGTGTCTTAGTGAAGTGGGTCAAACTATTTTTATCACAGATATGCCAAACATTCAGAGGTTTAAAGAACAAAATTATTTGTCTTTCTCATGGAAGTCTAGAGTGAATATTCCAGGTCAGCAGATGTCTCTTCCTTACATGATCTTTGAGAGATTATTTCCATTCTGGGACTGTGCTATTCCTCAGGGACTTGCCATCACCTGCAGGGTTATGGCGTGGCCCCACCATGCCAGGTTCCCATTAGCAAGAAGATGAAAGAGAGAGAATGGAGCAGGCATGCCCACTCCCTTAAGGATTCTGGACAAAAAATATAGATTCATAGAGCTACGGGTAGCTTTGGGTACTCTGTCCTTCGATAGTGAGACAATTTTAGAAGAACCTACCATGGTTGGTAAAACATGTGGACACAAGTTTCCAGCTATTCTGCATCAGCTCACAAGATGGCAGTGTTCTATTCTGAATGACTCCCATGGGTGCTTGAGTAGGAGGCATTTAAATTTGAGTTATAACAAAATGATACTCTTTTTCCTTGTTGGCTGAGTAGCCAAATTGTGGTTTCCCATTCAGGTGGTGGTGGTGGTTTGTGTGTGTGTGTGTGTGTGTGTGTGTGTGTGTGTGTGTGTGTGCATGCTTTGGAGAAGGGGGTGATGGTTCAAAAAAGAAAAGGAAACGCTTAGGGTAGTGAATCACATTTTGCCCAGGAAATACACTTGATAATTGAAGGATGAAGAAGTGTCCACTGGCTTCACTAATGATCTCTTGGCTTCAACTGAGCTGTAAGTAGGGTGACTACAAAGGGTCATGGGCAACCAGGAAACTTGAGGTTGCACCTCAGAAAACTAAGAAGGAAAAATGGAATTTATTCTGACTATTCTTGGAGCCTTATTGTTCCAGTGGAGAATAATGATTACTTTTTTATACGCAGGGGTGAGCAGTGAAGACAAGGTGGTACAGAGTCCCCCATATCTGGTTGTCCATGAGGGAGACAGTGCAACTCTTAAGTGTAATTATGAAGTGACTAACTTTCAAAATCTACAGTGGTACAAGCAGGAAAAGAAATCTCCCACATTTCTGCTTAAACTGATTTCAAGTGGGGTTCAGAAGAAGTCAGGAAGATTAAGTAGCATATTGGATAAAAAAGAACTTCTCAGCATCCTGAACATCACAGCCACCCAGATCGGAGACTCAGCCACCTACCTCTGCGCTCTGGAGGCACAGTGCTCCCTAGTCACCTGCGCCCTGTACCCAAATGTTACAGCCTGTACTCAAATGCGGAGGCTCTGCAACTGTAAGGTAGGGAACTTACTAAACTGAGCAAGCCCTCAAAAATGAGCTAGAAGGAAAAGCAGCTGTTGGTCGAGATTCTTGTATGCAGATTGGCAGTTACTTGTAAAATTTACTGAGTTCTAACTCAAACTGAGTCCTATCTCTTTCACTGCTTTCTCTGTGCTTTCTATGGGATTCAGCATAGCTCATATTTCTAGCGAGTCCCTGTAGGATACCAACTCTTTCATCCTGATTGAACTGGCAACTGGTGTGTGCACCACCCACCAGGGACTCTGCCAAACAGCTATGAATGCTTTATCTTCCCGACCAGAACTGGTACATTTATTGGTAGAGTTCCTCCTTAGAACTGTTTATGCTTAACCTATTAGCAAAAAACAGAGGGTGGAAACAAGCAGGTATCATTACTTGATTCAAATGAAAGTTTTTCTTTTCTACTAGCAGTATTCTTATTCTCTTCATTTTAGGATTGATACCCATGCTAGGCACTTTGTGAAAGTGGTAATAAAATTTTTTCAAGATGTTACATATTAAATTTAATGCTTAGCACCTTAAGCGGCCTAGCAAAAGAAACAAGCTAGCTAAGGTTATGCAAAACTAATATAAACTTAACTTAGTTATGTTATGAAATATTCTTTCAATGAATTATGTAATCATATATATTAATATTATCTGTACAAAGAGTTTGCAATAGTACTTTGTACAATACTTGCTCTCTTAATTTTCACAATAGCACTGATGGATCATTAATATTATTTTCAGCTAACATATTGGAAAATTTTCACAAACTCAGAAACATTAAGCCCCTCCGCAACCCCTGTCCCAGATAAATTGCTAACAGA